TTTTGAAACCGTGATCTTGACATGCAGGTGTGAAGTAAAGTTAACAGCTTCAGATTTAAAAGGTTATTAATAATATCTTCCGTGTCGCATTAACACTGGAATGTTCTTACAAGTGTAAAAAGAGGTGATACACAACGTGCCTCTTCTATAACTCTTCAGTTTACAGAGAAATTCCAGCAGAGCCACACAACATTGTCCAATAATACTCTTCTGGTGTCTAATTTCCAGGGAGTAACCCTGCTACAAAAGGGAACAGCGCATCGGTCCTTAACTATGGTTAAACAGTACATACAATGTCTGGTGGAGTTTCAGCATTCACTTTTCTGTAATCTGTACAGAACCATGTCAACTCATCAATGTTTGGTACCAATAAACAGGGGGGCTTCACAGACTTCCTTCTTTGAACTCAGCTGTGCTCCAGTAAATAATGTACAGTTTATGACCTTCTGCAATGCTTCTAGTTTAGCAGGATTTGAGCGATAAGCACATTGTTTAATGGGGGTGACATTACCCACGTCTAAATCACTGTAAGAGACAGGTTTGAGTCGGAGTGTCCGTTAGTAAAACAGAGCATCTTCCAATACATATACAGTAACTACTGCATGATTTCTTTACCCATTTCAGCTAAATGAGGGGAATTAAATCAGTCAAAATCTCAGAGTGCCAATTGTAAAAATAACCCTTCTTCCCTCCTTTGTTTAACTTAAATAATTTTGCGAACAAATCCTTAATCACAAAAATATAACTTAATGTATCCAGATACACAAATTCATACCAGAGCCAACAACAAGCTATAATAGTTGACTATTTTTATGTATTCACTGTATAAGAAACAAACCGGAAGTAATACTCTGATTATGCTTTGAACCATTGGGTGCAGTGCTTTGTCCATTACCATGACAAGGACAATAAAAGTTTTTTAAAAGAAACGGATGTCAAAATGTTTCCAAAATGTCCACCTGTGATATTTTAGCTGCTTAGTTACATGATTCCATATTCATATTACTATCAAGTGATGTTACAACATTTATGTTTTTACAATAACAGCAAGTGGTGTTCTTACTACATATTCTTAAAAAACGATAAAACTTTATAACTTTTTATGAAGTACAGAATATAAGCTTAATAATGTTAGGACAAGCACGTTAAAACCAGAACCAACTGTAAGTTACCAAGTTAAAGACTTTCATGCATAAAATATTTATGCATAATTAAATTATTTATGATGAAGGTGGAAGGTTGTGTACTTTTGTCCAATTGAGCAAACTTGCTTTTATAAAATATACCTACTTTTTAATGTTTAACATGCTGTAATACACAGTTTAAAATTATTAAAAGTCTAAACAGTATACAGCTTAAATTCTTAAGTGAAGAATAGAAAATGAGGGTCTTCTGAGGTGGCAGCAGGGGAATTGCCAAAGCAAGCATATAATACTTAGAGCAAGAAACAGCTGAGATGTGAGGATCTAATGATCAAGGCAGGCAGATGAGCCACTGAAAGATGGCCCAGTATCTAAAGCTCTGGGCAGGAGTTGGGGATAGGGCATACTGGGGCCTTGGAAAAGAAAAAGCTAGGGGACAAAGTCAGGGCCAGACGCGAGATAAGATATCAGCACAGAAGAAGGGGAAGGAAGCTGCCACTGCCACTGCAATGACCATCAGATACAGAAAGAGCACTGTATGAGGAGCTGAGGAGCCTGGACAAGAATCTGCCATGCAGTGAGCAGTGATGTGTACAGAGGTGGAGCAGTGAGGCTGGACTGGGCTTACATGAACAAGATGGAGCTGGAATCAAGAAGGGAGTGTGGCGAACGGTGGTGAAGCCCATAGATGTGGTTGAACCAAGCCTTTTTTAAATATTCAAAATAAGCATCTGGGGCAAAATCAAGAGCACGGTCACTTGCTCAGTAAAGTTCTGGATGAGAGTAACAGTGTTATCCTTAATGACAAAGAATTCCATAGGTTTTGAATGTCATTTTTCACTGTATTTCATAATGTGATTTTTTAAGGTATACAGTATATTAATTCTTTAGTACTGAAAATGGCTTCTACTTTTTCATTTGTATATTGTTATGTCTAATAAACTTTGAAAACTGACATTTAGGAAGCTTGTATTTGATATTTACAACTGATAATGGTAATAAGTAATGACAACATTTGCTACAATAATACTGTATGTAAGTGCTAATATGTTAGTCAGTATAGGATAAACATAGGTGATGTTTCATGGGAATCAAGTTAATACAGATAAAATGTTCTATGGTATACCTTCACAAACCCATTTATTGTGTACTATCAGAATATTGGTATTAATATTTGTAATGAAATTTGTTATGATTAAGAAAAGAGAAGTGGTGAGGTAATCTTGTAAACAGAAATAGGGAAGATCTGCTATTATGGTTGGGAGACCAAGGGGAAGGTCAGTACACAGCAAGCAGACAAGGCAAAGCAAAACAAGTCAATTACAAAAGTTAATTAATTAGAGGTAGGGTTATACTGACAACCACCCATCCAGGACTGAGAGATGATAATCACACAGGTAATACAGTCCTCCCCCAATAAGACAATTGGTCCCTGAAATGTGATAGTTGGCAACATCGATTACACTTCTAAGCCACATAATCATAAACACTAGAATAATTAGAAACACTAGACAACTGTTTTCTTGATTTGAAAAAAAAGCTACCATGAATTAAATCCATCTTCTTTGTTTACAAATGCTGTTTGCAAATACAATGCTGACTGCAGGAACTCTACTTAGCTTTTTGCAAGAGCTGGTGTACGGCATCTCATAGCTGTTTCACAGCACAGCACAGAAAGGGGCAGAAGCAAATTCATATCCCTGATTAAATCTTGTAGGAACAATTAACAATAAACAAAAAAGATTTACAGATTGGATATATTTTCTTGCATACTAAAGAATTCCAAAAATATTATACATTAATCTTAATAGTATTGCATTGAACAAAACAAAGTCATACTTGTCCAAATGTATTCAAGTCCAGAAAATATTCTGTATGTCTCACATACGTACTGTATATTTGCACCCCTGTAGATAGCATATTCTAAATCCTGCTCTGGCAGGGATCATACTGACTGAAGGCCACATGTATTGTATGGACTGTGGTGAGGTCCTGGCACTTCAGAGGGGATATTCCTCCATATAGAAGTATTTTAACTTAAATAATATATATTTTCTATGACCTCGGTTCATTCCTGAGTGCATTTAAAATAACATACACCTGTTGTATATGACATTCCGGAATTAAATGCAGATAACATAACTGCAGATAATAACAGGATAGCATTTTCATAAATAGTTCAGGTGGGTAGCTGCGTCAGCATGCGTAGGCTGCAAAGGAACAAGTAATAGGTTTATTCCATGCTGAAAAAA